TCACCCCTTTGCCTTTGCCAGTCCCAAACACAAGTCACTTGGCTGTCCCTTGTTTTCCCACTGTGATCTTAGCATCCTTTCTCATGCTGGTTCCTTATGTCTAAAACAGGCTCTCTTTTCTTCTGTGCCAAACACTTAAACTCTGCTTAATCAAATCTGTCCTAAATCCCACTTATTCTGCATGGTGTTATGCCTGTTGTGTACACCTTGGAAAGTGTATTGCACTTTCTTTAAGTTATCCATATCATGCTGCCTTCCTTTTCCCTTTTATTATCTTTCTGGTTCCAAAGGTTTGCTTTCTGGTTTCACTTACTTCAGTGCTTATCTTGGGGACAATGAGTTCTGTCACTTCAGAGAAGCATAGTTTTTTTTTTTTCCCCCTAAGATTTTCTAAGTAATTACTGCATAGATTTCAACAGAATTAAGCTGCTGGAAATCCAAGACAACCAACAAACAGTGATAAAAATAATTAATAAAACATTTATAGATACTGTCTTTTCCCCCACTTCCTTTTACCACTCAAGCACAGAAGGGAACTCCCTTCTGCTGGTTTGCCTGACAAAAAGAAAAACGTGGGCAATAGCAAAAGGAAGTGGTACAGGCTGGAAGAAGACATGAAATGTTATTTACAGCATGAAATGGCCATGAATGACACTGCTAAATCTGAACTTTCTCCCTGCCTAAATACCTTCTGGGTTCCCTAGTCCACACAGTCACTACTGCAGTTCTGGGAAGAATATAAATTTGGTATCCTCTTAAAATACATTTTTAAAAGAAATTAGCAACCCAGAGTCTCTCTAGGAATATTTAACCATTATAAGCCTTTCCGAGAAAAAGAAATGTAATTAAACAGCCCAAATATGCTATAGTAAAATTGCCAAGTGATAACATTACTTTTCAGAACTGAAGTAATGCTCTGCTTTGGGTATGGATGTTTGCTGACCCTTGTATTGCAGGATTCAATGTCAACCATTTAGACATTGCCCCGAGGTATGCCAGCATCTTAATGGGAATTTCTAATGGAGTCGGGACCTTGTCTGGAATGGTTTGCCCTATAATTGTTGGAGCAATGACAAAGAACAAGGTAAACAGCGATACCGTTTTCATATCTTCTAGTTTAATACTATTGGCTTCAAGAAAAATACCTTTCCATAGTACAGGTTGCCAGGATATCCATATTAGAGCCTGGCACCTCCAGGGAATAGTATCCAGGAACTTGCAAATAGGAAGCATGCTCTGTTATATGCTCACCAGGTCAGTGCTTTTGTAGGCTAATGAATAGTGATTTTTCAAAGAGAGATGGATATAAATAATTGGAAACTGGACCCTTAAATGTTTTAGCTGTGCTGACTCTTGCAGCCTCAATCCCTGATTTAAATCTTTCAGCTCAGAAAAGTTAGATAGGTCTATGCACTAGTCTGATTAAGCAAATCTCTTCTTTGCAGACACGTGAAGAGTGGCAGTACGTCTTCCTCATTGCTGCTTTAGTTCATTATGGGGGTGTTATCTTCTATGGCATATTTGCTTCAGGAGAGAAACAACCCTGGGCAGACCCTGAACAGACAAGTGAAGAGAAATGTGGCTTTATTCATGAAGATGAACTTGCTGAAGAGACAGGGGACATTACTCAGAATTATGTAAATTATGGTACCACCAAGTCTTATGGTGCTACAACCCAGGTCAACGGTGGCTGGCCTAATGGTTGGGAGAAAAAAGAGGAATTTGTACAAGAGGAAGTACAAGACTCATACACCTACAAGGAAGATTATTCATAACAAACCTAAATATTGGATATATTTTGTAGTGTTTGTGATTAAATTCATTGTGATTGTTTGCACACAGAAATAAAACGTGGTATAAACATGTAAACACATATCAGACAGGAAGGTCTTACTGTAAAAAAAATACATTAAAGTGCAATTTGTATGAGTTGTGACATGTCATCACTTTCATTAGGTTATATTTGTTCTATAAACATTAGAGTTTTAAGGGTTTACTGGTCAAAACTATAGAGGCAATTAGATACTTACAGTATACAAGAGCTAAAACTCATAACTAAGGATTAAAGCACAACTAAGCAACCAAGTTGGCACATCTAATGCTCTTTTTAGAAAGACAAAATTACTTGATCATTAAAAATGCACTTATATATTTGTTACACTGTATTGAAAGAGATTGTGCTAAATACACACAGTTACTCAGTGCAATGTAGGAATTGTGTGTTTAGTCTAAGACAAGAGCTTTCTTGAAGAAGAAAGATTGAGTCCTAGGCATTTACATTGGATTGATCCAGTTCCCTTAATGGGGATTGTATCAAGCTTAACGAACAAATAGGGCATATTGTATGTCTATCGTGATTACATGCTGCAGGCTACTGTGTGATGAAGAAACAAATTATTTAGGAGTTTTATACTGAATGTTTGGGCACAAATTCTTATTTCTATTCTTTACAGAATCTTATGAAATGATAGGCATCGCCATGTTCTTCCCTGCATTTATCAACTAACAGAGAAACAATATATAATGTTAAGTCTGTCACATCCCTTTATCAAAAAACAAGCTTTATTATTCTATTCTTTGCAGTCTATTCCAGCTTTGTCCTGGTGTCTTTAGAGAGAGAAAAAACCCAATGTAACAGAGAAAAAGATATAGTCTTTTACAAAATTCCAAAGAGAAATTTACTATGAGCAAGTAGCCCTATGAAAAAGGATGTATTTGTTTTGCAGAATATTTTGAAGCCAGTAGAGGAAACAGAGAATAATTTAATCCTTATGCTTCCCTGAATAGTGTTCATATTTTTACATCATGCCACAATTGTATACATAGATATAAGTTTATTGAAAATACTGTAATTATAGAAAATGTTGCTATTTTAGAAATCCCTGAAATAAAAGAAAATGTACCTGTCTTTCCATTAAGCCTAATAATAATGGACACTGAATATGAGTAACATATAAACTCACATTAAACCAAAGTGGTAAATAACTAGTGTTGGGTTGAAAGAAGCCAACAAGCATCATGCTTGTCTTTTTAGCATAACTCAACAGTGACTGCAACATTAGTGTACCAAGCAATAAGTGCAATGCATTATGAAGTGCATAACCTTCTAGACTATATAGTAACGTTCATTTAGCTTGTTGTATATATTTGGGGTTGTTGGAATTAAACCAACTGGAACCAGCTGAAGTCAGTAACACCAGACTACTTCTTAATACTCTAAAATTACAACAATGATCCATTTCTTAATTCAATCAAATGATTATTATCGTATGTAATAATCCATTCTGGATTCTTGGTCTGTTCATTGTATTGTGCTAGTGATTGGAAACCCTGCTACTGCAATATACAACTTGAGGATTGTTTCTTCTCCTTTTTTTTAATGCAAATCATTGACCTTAAGAAAAAAGGATTTTGCTTTGTGCCTCAAAGTGATGTAAAATGTGACCATAGCTTTTGCTGTGTTTAATGAAACAGATGTGGACTGTGTCACTTTTGTTGCTGCAAAAAAAGTATTAATAAAATGCTCTATTTATCCTTTTATATAAAAAAGGACCATTGTAGTTTCTTGTCATTTATTTTTCAGATGTGCTTTAATATAGATAACTAAAATTATAGTCACTGTAGAAAATGGAGGTAGGATTTCATGTCCTAGCTGGGAGCTATGCTGGATACCCACTGCTCTGCTTTGTCTGCTCTCTCCTCTGACCGTGCACTAGTGTGTGGTGGGACAGGCACCTAACTCCAGATTGTTGTTCCTCCTCTCATAAGAATGGCTGGAAGAGAGAGAAGCAGGAGGATCAGTGTGCCAGCCTGTACAGGAAAACTGGGAAAGACAGACTGATCTCTGTTGGCTAAAGAGCTGGTGTAGATCAGCATCCTTGAAAAAAAAAAAGCATCACAGACTGCTGTGCTTGGAATTTGTTTCCTTTCTTGCTCCTGCAATAAGACTCTTTAACTGAAACATAATGTTACTTTCCATCCAGGAAAAGTAATTCCTCCAGAAATCAGTAAATGCAAGAAATCCTATAACAAAAATAAGTCTTTATCTAACAAAATTTTTACTCTTCAATAATTTTCTTGCACCAAGAATGTAGAAACACCAAGCTGAACAAAAGGCTGCAGAACACTACCCGGAGCAGTAATGGGCCCAGCGTTCTCTCCAATAGGCCCGTTGTCATGAGATGTCTGAGATGCTGAGTCAGGTAACACACCAACTTACTGCTAATTGTTTTGATGGACTGGTGTGATGTTGCCATGGAAAAGTCCTGAAAGGTGCAGAAGTGGGATAAATAGGGGCTTTAAAAAGTCCTATTGTGTTTATTGTGGTAAGCGGACAGCTCAGAAAATGAAAACTAATTAACAAAATGAAAATCAATTCTAAGTTTTCAGTCTAATCTTACAGGCTCTCTATCTTTTGGAGTTGTTTCAATAATTTCCCTTCATTAAGTATAGTTTTGGGGTTTTTTTCTCTTATTAGCTTGATGCCTTTTAATTACTGTGAACAAAGGAGAGACTTTAATCCAACAGTTAGACACTGTATCGTACAGCCGTGCACAACTCAGTGGGAACTCAGCAACTGCCTTTAAATGCTACACCATTCTAAGATCTTCCACATACTCTTTCTAGCTCTGTGCTCCTCCTTTGAGTCCCTTACTTTCTCTCCTATGGTAGTGCAGAGGAATCAATTCTGGGAAGGATGACAGGTTTTAAGATTTTTATTTCTTCACAGACTCGTATTCTCAGAAAAACACAGGAATCAATCATCAGGAACACGACTAAGAAAGAAGAAGGGGAAATGGATAAAATAACTGGGTTCTTGCAAAAGATGATTCAGTGAAGACAAGCAGCAACAGCTGGATCCGTTGTAGAGAAAAGGAGAGTTGAGGGGACGTGACCCTTCATTTAAACTCCTATGTTTTTTCTCAGTAAATAATTTATCATTTTTATAAAGTAGCATTGCTAAAACACACCTCTTCAGCCTCCTCTGAACTGTGCCCATTCTGCCCAGAGATCTCTCTTCTGCACCCAGATTCAAAGAGTAGCTCTGCAGATGCATTGCACTCCTCTGGAACTCTTAGCAGGCCAAATGATCCCAGTTTATCAATCAGGCTATGTTCACAGTCACTTGATAGTTTTGTCCTGCCTATTTCTATGCTGTTCCCTTATCTGGTACTCTGCTCACTTACTATGTTGAAAAAAAGGAAAGGAATTATTACTTGTATCTTTATTTATCAGCTAGTTATCTTTTCAGTTATGAACAATAAGTAAAAGGAAGGGGCAGAACCCAGGGTCCATTAAAATCCTTAGAAAAGCTTTGAGTTTACGTGGGCTGGAATATCACCTCAAATGTTCAGCTTTATGTCCTCAAATGATTTCATATACATAGTATCACTCAACCAGTGAGAATTTTTTTAATGTGTGAATCTGCATTGGTCAGATCCCTTCTGTTAAGGGAAGGGATCTTTATCTCTTTGTGGCAGAGACAAAGTTATCATAAAGCGCTCTTTGCTTTCAGAAGTGATCATGAAATTCAATGGACCAAATTTCATAAAAACACTTTTCTATGGGGGAAATGAAAGCCTCAAGGTAAAGGCTGAATAACAGTGACAAAAGAATATCTGCAAATATGAATGAAGTCCTCTTTCAGCACGAAGCTCAGAATAGGAATGAATGTGGAAGCCAGAATAAATGTCACAGTTCAAAGTCGTACCACTAGGAAGATAACATCACAGGCCTAGTTTCTGCCTCTGAAAGATGAAATGTTTTGTTCCTTTCAGGATAAGCTGTGAAGGAGTTTGAAGGCTAGTCTAAGTCTAGATTTACTGCTTAGAAGCAGCTGCTTTTGTACTTTGAATTTATCTGTGGTTTTTGCTTGGATAATTTTCATCGCACTGGGAGATTTCAGAGTAAATAATCAAAGGATCTAGAACCACAGTGAGATATTTTAATTAAGTATCTATGTATAACATCTCTGATCCACCTAATGTGTCTGTTGTTGCAATTCTAGCTTTGCTTAACACTTCTTCACTTGGTTGTAACCCAAAGCACAGCAATGTATGAAATGCTGGTTTTGTTCTCTCTGGGAAGACCTTGAAGTCTGATAGCTTGAGGAAACTTCAGACCAGCAACCTAAAAAAGGTCTGTAAAACTGAATGGGGATATTGGCAGGAAACACTTGGTGTTGTCTTGCTCATCTTGATACTTCCACCATTACATCTTCCATGTAATCTAGTATTTATTTTCCCAATAGCAGGGATTTAGTACTTAGTACTTGAAGTAATGAAGGCTCATAATATTTCTAGAGGTATGAATACCCTAATAATATTCCCCAATTTCAGGGATCTCCTTGAATTCAGAAAGTACCTTTTCAGAGCATGTCTGTTCTCTCTCAAAAAAAGAAAGATGTAAAAGAGCTTTCCTTGAAGAATGGAGTTTCTTTCACTCATTCAAATGGTTGCACTTCTCCTGACAGTGTTTTCAAGCTTCCCGTGCATCACACTGAAAAATCTCAACTGGTTAAGTAGGACATGCACAGCAAAAATGCTACCAGGAAATGCTGGACTTACTATTTCCAGGGCATGTAGATGAAGATCACATGCACTGTAAAAACATGTCGAGGTCCACACAAACAGTGGCTGGTTTAAATCAGTGTTTCGAAGGTGTGAGTGGATGGTTGGATGTCCAAGGATCCAAGAAATTCCTCATATTTTGAAAAATATTCCTGTATGATAGAGGGAGTCATATCTGGAAGAATCCGGATACACGTCTGATTGCCCTGCTCACTCACTTACTTTTCTCCACCTTTTTGTAGCATCTGGGAAGGTCAGCAAATCAAAGAGAAAGACTGCCATCACGCCAAGAACAAATGTAGAACTAAAGCAGAAACGATGCTTGGAAGCAGAAAATTAACTAGATAAGAAAGTATTTCAAAAATAAAGAATAACATCGTTAAAATTGGAAGATTGCCATTTAATTAGAGGTTGCTTTCTATAACCAATTAAATGTGCCAACACTGGATAACTGCCACAGATGGCCATGAACTAAATTAGTTTTTGAGGAGGGTATGATAATTTTCTTCAAGGTAAACATCAGAACAATCAGCAGAACCGCTTTCAGTTCTAATGTGGAAAGTTACAGTGTTGTTTTATTTTTGGTAAATGTTGCTTTGTCGAATTACAATCAAATCACATAAAGACAAGGCCAACCACAGCTCACATTTTTCTCAGCTGTTTTTCTGTGCAGTTATGTCTGATCATAGGACCAATAAAGCACAAACTTTATCCAGTATAGATGAAGCACCAAATTAAATGTGATATATGAAAAGATGCTTGTCAACATGCACAAGTCTTAGACTTGTGCATTACAAGGCAGCACTGTAAAATGAAGACTGACCATGTTGCTCTACTTTAGGAGTCCTGAAGACAACGATCCACAGTTATTTCTTCACTGGTGGAGTGTGATGGTATAGAATAGGATGGGACTATGAAGAAGCTGACTGGCTGTGCTTTTTGAGTTAGTATTCTCCATTGCATGAACATGCAAACCCCAATTACTATTAACATATGCCCTTTAATAATAAAAGTATGGTAATAATCTCTGCCTAAAGTCTAAAAGAAGAGCTAACTCATATAACATGTTTATACCTCCTCCAAAAACTTTTTAGCCCATTTTAAGCAACCTGAAAATGAAATAGA